GCATTCATTTTTGTACAAATTTTGCATACTGGTGTTTTTGAAGCGTAACTAAACGCAGACCATATCATCAAACTTCCTCTGCCGAAATTCCTGCTCATGGCTACTACCTTGTCGGTACGTAAATCGTGCCAGTAATATTTAAAACCGTCAGGTCCATCTAAATTAATTTTTTTCTCGTCGGAAAAAATGACATTTACGTACCAACAAGGCAGTAGCCATGAGCAGGAATTTCGGCGGAGGAAGTTTGATGATATGGGCTGCGTTTAGTCACGCTTCAAAGACACCAGTATGCAAAATTTGTACAAAAATAAATGCAGATAAATACATGGACTTATTAGAAGATTGTTTAATTCCATTTATAGAAGAAAATTATGAAGAAAATGTTATCTTTCAACAAGATAACGCTGCCGTACACAACACAAACAAGACATGGGAATGGTTTCGACAAAAAAATTTGCCACTTATGAAGTGGCCGTCACATTCGCCGGACTTAAACCCGATGGGGAACCTATGGGGTATTCTATCAAGAGTAGTATACAAAAGAAATAAACAGCACAAGAACATTAAGCAGCTGGAAAACGCTGTAAGACATGAATGGAATAAAATCGGTACTAAGACGTTACAAAAATTGGTTTGTAGTATAGAGAACAGAATATTTGAGGTGATTAAGCGTAATGGTGGAAGTACTAAGTACTAATATTACAATTGTTATATTTTTTATAATAATTTAATAGACTGTTTCTATGCAAATTTCGTCACTTTCTTTGTATATTCAACTACTATGTTTTCTTTATGAAAAATAAAACGATTTCTTTTGTTGTTAATGTTGACTTCTTGTCTTTTAATTATTTCTTTATATTTTTCCAACCTCCCTTAATTTTATTTACAAAGCATTAAATTGTTTTTATTAAAAATAATAGTGTTCTTATAGAAATTTCGTCCACTGTATTGAGTTAAAAGGGGCTATGTTAAAAAATTAAAAAAAAAATTTTGCTGAAAATCACGTGTTTTCTGTGTCAGGCCGAGAACTTTTCGAACTACCCTCGTATATATATCATATATGGGTGTCTGACAATAATCGTCCCACCGGTCATATACAGGTAGAGGAGGTCAAACCGAGTAGAAAAGTCCGTTTTTCTGTTGTTTTGCCGGTGCTCAGTTGTTCAGTTACCGTGGCATCTTCGTTCGTATAATATCTTATTACTTTTGTATTTTCTCTGCTTGTTTAATTCAATTGAGTCTATATGTATGGACGTAATAGTTTATATATATACATACAGGGTGGGCCATTTTAATCCATCCACGCAAATAACTCCGTAAGTAAGCCAAATACAGAAAAATAATTCAGACAAAAGTTGTTTGGGACAATGGGGGTCACCTATTTATGCTAGTGACTTTGACCTTGAAGTCAATTTTCAAGGTCATTTGAAGGTCAGAGTTATTTTTTAAATGAAAACCCCTATTTTTGATTCCAAAATCTAATAGCTGGTGTCAAGAGCTTTTCAAAACATTATAATGAAGTTATTTTTCATTAAGTACTTTTCGAGTTATGAGGCTTGTAAATTACAGTATTTTGACATAAATACAAAATATCTTGTAAAATATTCAATTTTTGGGAATCTTACCTTAATACTTTTATGCATAAAATAATGAGACAAATCAATTGGTATAAAGAAAACACATAGTTGCTTTCAAGAAAAAATATGTAATTTGCAACATGCAACTGCATACTTTTTTTAAAACCAATGTGTTTTTTTTATACCAATTGATTCGTCTCATTATCTTATGCATAAAAGTATTAAGGTAAGATTCCCAAAAATTGAATGTTTTACAAGATATTTTGTATTTTATGTCAAAATACTGTAATTTACAAGCCTCATAACTCGAAAAGCACTTAATAAAAAATAACTTCATTATAGTGTTTTGAAAAGCTCTTGACACCAGCTATTAGATTTTGGAATCAAAAATAGGGGTTTCCATTAAAAAAAATAACTTTGACCTTTAAATAACCTTGAAAATTGACTTCAAGGTCAAAGTCACTAGCATAAATAGGTGACCCCCATTGTCCCAAACAACTTTTGTCTGAACCATTTTTCTGTATTTGGCTTACTTACGGAGTTATTTGCGTGGATGGATTAAAATGGCCCACCCTGTATATAGTTAAACAAGCAGAGGAAATACAAAAGTAGTTATTACAATATAAGGTCGATGTCGAATGCAAAAACTTATTCTTATTTCTTATTACGAAAGAAAACTTTATTATCACAATGAAAAAGGTTATTACACCACGAAAGCAAAGCGAGAGAAGTAAAAACAAAAGAACGGAATGCATGCGCAGTCTCACTTGGCATAGATCGATTTGTCGATTATACCACAGATATATATCACAGAAAAGTAAAAGCGCGAGATTTAAACAAGACTTAACAGTAATGAGATATGAATTATACGAACGAAGACGCCACGGTAACTGAACAACTGAGCACCGACAAAACAACAAAAAAACGGAACAGTTGATGTCCGCGCATTACCTCACCCGCGACTATTGATTACTGGTGCTATCTTTTAACATCTATTCAGTAACGAACTAGCTATAATTAAAGAAACTCGAAAAAGAAACATCAACAATAGTATGAAAGAAGTACATAATGATTAAGTAATTAAAATATACATGATAAAAAATGTTACAAATTGGTCTGGGCGTTCAGTAATTAATATTTTCGAAGTGCTGTTTATTGGAATTGGCACAGAAACTTAAAAGTTCTTGAAAATTGTCAAATATACCTTTTGACATGACTGGAAATATATCCTGAATGCATTTTTGAATACTCTGTTTTAGCTTTTCGATGGATAACACTTTGAAATTATTCAAAAATATTTATCAATGAGCGCCCAGATATAATAAATTGATAGCATTTTTTATCATGTTTATTTCAATTACTTAATTACTTAATTATTGTATATTTCTTTCATACTATATGGAATAAAATGAACGGGTTTTCTCTATAAAATAACATTTAAAGTTCCTGGACTTGTCGCGGCCATGTTGGCAATCGTGACGTTAGAGGCGAGGAATTACATACTGAAAATTCTTGCGTACCATTTTTAAATAAAAAGATATTTTGATGAAATAACACTATAGATTGATTTAGCACACTTATAAAATTGTCCGAAAACTATGCTTTTCCCTTGACAGTTAATAAACAACCATAAAATGAATGTAATACGATTCATACCACATTCATTTTATGGTTGTTTAT